GTTTTCAAGGTTGCTTTTCTTCATTTCTTTGGACATCGCTTTTGCCAACGTAGGAAGATTTCTGATCTGTTCGAGCACTTTGATAAGTTGACACGCAAATATACCGAAAGGAGCATTGATGATATTACTCTAAAACAGATATTGTACCACAAGAGTAAATAAACAAGAGATCAGATAACCACATGTGACACACCTGCTGAGTAGCCTTGCAAGAATCGACAACGTATAATCGGCACAACTCCTCAAAGTTCTGCGGGGGCTTGTAGGCAACGTTTACGACATCAGTGTTGGTAGTAGAGCACTGTAGGTTATCCGGCAAGTTCCCGCAAACCTCAGTAGCGTTCAATGGTAGCTGGCCTTCTTCCAAAATCACCTGCAACCTTCAGATTTACAGAATATATGTAGACTAGACCTACTGGCACACGTCATTTATGGTGATTTCATTCGATAAAAATATGATAGTAATATTTTATAGTATTCATTTGGTAACGACTCCTGAACTTTCAACTTCACTCTTCGTTCAGCTAGGGTATTGTTTCCATAAAAGGCAAAACCGATCTGTGGTTTCGGCAAGTATCTACGTTTGTCTTTGTACAACCGGTGAACTGAACTGACACTCGAATAAATCAGATCAGTATTGGTTCGACGGTAATTCTAATAATAATTTCTTGATATGGTTGTAAAGTTCATATTTTTCATAAAGGTAAGCTGCTAATTGCTGTGTACTGTAGAGTAGGGGCACACCAGGATTAAAGTTTAACTCCTGTTCTGCTATACAGGATCACATCCTGGAGTTCGACGATAGGAGCTCAATGAACAGTGACAGAACAGAACAATATATAGCCAAAGCTAGTCATGCCATTAGTTACACAACCGATGGACACGTTTTCACAGAGTAAAACCATTCTAAACGGCAATAATTTAACTCAATTTAATTGACGTTTAATATTCGAATGCAAGGCTAAATCTACGTTGTTCAATGAACAAAGATCGCATTTCTAATTTAATTTATTTTAAATTTTTTAAATTTAAATTTATACCTTGCGCTGATTATTATCAATGATCAAGTAGACCGGAGCGAACAGCGGTCAGAAAGCGCATGCATCACACCACCTGGCCGCATATCTCCTACGTTTTGGCACAGCCACACCAGGGCACCATGCCATGCCCCCCTCCATTATTTGCAGGTCAACGACCTGCCACCAGTTTCACGACTGGCTATAGCGAACTAAACTGGGGTAAATTCTTTGCTGACGAGAATTAGCAGTTAATAAAAGAAATGGATTAAGTCGCCAGTCTTACAGGCAGCACTTCAAAAGTGTAAAGCAAACTATTGACTGGGGTCACTGAAAGAATTTATGAAGTCGCTTCACTCACAAATGAAGAGAAAAAGAACTAAGACAATGAATAAATATATGAATATACTTTATCAATCCAAGGGTCATATCTTGTGCTTTTTGTCATTTAGACAGCCATAAAGTGAAACAAGGTGAAATGCAGCCATAAGGCCTACAATCAAATAGTCCAGTCGTAAGTATAGAAATCTCTGGGTTGATCGTATCAGAATACATCGTTATCGCACTTGTTCGCAGTTCATCGATTTGCCACCGGCTTCACAGTTGATAGCACCGAAGAAAATTAGGGTGAATTCATTACTCAACGAAATTAATATTTAATAAGCAAACTTTACGCCACACCTGGATTCAAACTGACACCTCAAACATGTATGATCAAATAACCTTCAACAGCTTCTACTCCATATACAATACGAATATATGGATTTTAATTTCATATAAGTTTAATGATAGATCTTACCACTGAATCATTCGCCTTACGTCGCAGGTAGTCCATACATATGTAACAGCTTAGCCTGGGATCATTTGAAATTTTATTCATGACTTCTTCCATCCCTTTGCCTTAAAAAAGTAATTAATAAAGTAAAGGAGAAAAAGCACAGAAAAGAATTTGAACCAAAGGTTGCCTGGTAAATCATCAGCACGAATAACAGCCCAAGAGAAAATCATTAATGTCATAGGATTATAATACGTATGCATTACATAACTGTTAGTGCGTATTATATATGTTGGTACAGACGACGGCTACGAATGTTGTGGAAGTATCACAGAACCGAAGCAACTCGGCAACTGACCCCATAAGTAAAGACGATGAAACTGTGTGGAAAATTCAGCGGTAAACGCCAGCATGTAACGCTAGACTCCAGAGGGAAATTCACGAGTCATACGACTCAAGATATCTGAAAACTGTCGGAAATGACCGTCATTATTATCAAAGCCTTGTAACCAGGGTTGCTTACTCGGTAGAGCATTAGGCTCAGAACCGATAGGTCTTGAGCTTGAGACCCGGTTGGGTCATTGTTTCCTTTAATTATGTTTTAGGTTCATAAATGAGTACCACTCCGTAAGAAGAAAAGAGACTACGCGGTACCTGCCACATAGCCATAGATTCTGCCCTTAAATTACATCACTCCTGTCTGATGGCATGGAAACTGAGATAAGGGTTCCACTATTAACTTCGTACAATAAGTACGCCAGAAATGACTTAATCTTAATCATGAAAGTGCAGGAAGACAGAAATTTTGACGGTTACAAACTTTCCAATTTTCCAATTATTAAACAAGTTTAATAAAATAGCTAGAAATGTGTTATGTCACCTTACCATGCTGGCTTGGCACAATTTATATCGCCTGATAAGTTTTCGATGCTCACCTTCTTCTACAGAGATCACCTCTGGCTCGACAAGAACCTCCATTGAGGAGGTGACATGGAAAAAGGCGAGAAGCATGAACGAGGCATAAACACTGGCGGTAGAAAGGTTCATTTTGACGGCAGAAGCAATAACAACTGTAAT